ACCATGGGCTCCTGTGGCTAGGATCCCCATGAGCTGAGGGGAGTCCTATCCATGGGATCTTGCTACTTGCTGGTGCAGGGGGATCCTGGGCTTTTCCTGCATTGACAATAAGGCATGATGGGATCTGATGCTCAATCCCACAGTATTGCCTCCTGCCATGCATGCATGGTATGACAGGGGTTTTATAGATTGATCAAATATTAGTGTAGTTCTCATCTCATGTGTGAATCTTGGGGTGCAGACACAAGTGCAGCTCCCCACTGTAACTGAAAATGCTTTGCAGGAAGTGTTCTGAGTTGCAACAATCCCTTGGAACAAACAGAAGTTTACTGTTGGTTCCGGGAGTGGGAGGGGAATCTAGCTGTTGGCTACCAGCCTGCAGCCAATTTTCTCCAGCAACGCCGTGTCCCCACTCCCGCCAGCTGGGAGGGGGGAAAGGGAGCAGAGGCAGCTTGTTCTAGGGGTCCCCCAGTCAGCACTGCTGGGTGGGATGGGTGTATTGGAGCCCCCTGGCAGGCAGCACAAACAAAAGTTACAGAAGATGCTCTGTATTGAAATGTCTTCATTTGACCCCCCTGTGCAACAAAGGTTCAGATTTTCACCAGATTGTCCATTTTTTAAGCTGTCTGTAGCTGTGCACTTGTTTGGTCATGGCTATAAACTGCTTTCTGTGGCCAAATCTGGTGAAAATTGTCACTTCTATCTGCACCCTTGAACTAAACTTTTAAGGCTGGCATTTAATTTTGGATCATTAGGAGTTAAATGAATTAGATAGCTCCATCTAAATGGTCTTAAAATCTTCATGCATAACCTTTTGAAGCAATGAGAGAGACAGAGTCCTGTTTGATTCTGAAGATGATAATCACAAAGACAATAATCACAGGTGACACGTATGGGACCAAATCTGAATTTTGCACTAACCTTTGTATCAGTCAAACTGTAGATTGCATTGGAAATCATCTCCTTGCTAAAAGTGCTCAGAATTCCTCTTAGGAGTTCTGCACATTCTGTGGGAGGAAAAAATATTTTAAATATGGCATTTGAATAAGTAAGCATGTGAATATTGATGTGTTTCCACTTACTTTCATATTCCAGTGCAATCATGTGAAGCAGCCACCTCAGGCTTTTTAAATGAATAACTTAGAAGCTGCCTTTACCTAATACATATATTTGATTTTTTGATCTGGTGTTAAAACAAAGTTTAGGATCTGATTTTCAGCAATGTGCATAATTTTAAACCTATTTTTTCATAATTTGAAAGCGGTCACAGTAAATGCATATCCAGATGGCTAGTTGGACACTTTTGCGTACAAATCTGAAAATCCAGGCAATAGTTTATTATTAAGCTTTCAGAACTATCTTTCTAGAAAGAGGAAATCAGATTCTTGCCTAGTGTAAATCAGCACAGCTTCAGTGACTTAACCAATGGTGATAAGTGTTCCAAAGGAAATTGGTTATTAATTATAAATAAGAAATTTTGAAAGTAAATTGACCTTTTTAAAAACACTGTGATTGGCTATCAGTCCCCAGCCTTTATGTTGCTAAATTTGCTACATTACTTTTAAATAAAGAAACTGGAAATGGCCAGGCTACCTCAGAGGAGGAAGACAGCCTTACTGGAAAAAAAATCCTAGAGTATTATGGTCATGGTCCCCAGATTGCTTTATCATATACTTAAGTTAAACTATAATATTGTCTTCATTGGGATATGCCTGTGGCTTGCATTTGCAACTGGCAGAGGGAAGATGCTGAAATTACCTGCCATATGTGGCCTGTAATCTGGGTCCTGGTGCCAGCACAGAATGATCAGATGTAACAGCCTGTTTCTCTGGGGCAAACTGCTTGGTATAAACTCTGCTTCAGTTACAGGCCTCTGACCACTACAAACTCCTGTCACAACCTTCAGCAGTGTTTTCTTGCCTATAAATGAACAAGGAAATATTAGTGTAAATCCTGCACGTGCGTGCGCGCGCGCACACACACACACACACACACAAATGCTTTTAAAGTGGTGACCTGTGCATATTGTTTTGTATATTTTAAAATAAAGACTTAAAAAACAAAACAATACAAAACAAACAAGCAAGCAAAAAACCTAACAACATACTTCTAAATAAATCTGAACAGTGTATACCTTATGCACCCAGTGGCAGCAGACCATTTATTTCTACTTATAAAGATTATGCCTAAACATAACTGGGTGCATATGCATAACCAGCAAAGCATATGCACAAATAGCTGATTTGTACATAAAGTGATTATTAAAGTGTGTACAGCCTAAGCACACAGTTCTATCTTGCAGTTTTGCATTCATTTTGAAGATACATTCTGTTGTTCACAAGATTCTGAGTTCTTTGGATAGCCACAAGATGGCAATGTAAAAATGAAAGCATCGTCTTTCATGAATATTGACATTCTACTTTACCTAATATTTTTACTGTCCTTTTCAACATGTAGTCTACCTGCCCTTCAACATGAGAAATGCCATATAAAAAACCAAGTAGAGTGCACCCAACTTGTTTCCATATTGGATATGTAATTTGTTTAATTACATAACACAATGCCATTCCAAATGTTATGTATATTGATTACATTATTACAAACATTGATTATCTGCAAATTGGAAACAATAAAGTAGAAGCGGTTGTCAAAGGGTTGCTTGTATAAGCTTTGATGTTGATGGAGTATAAGCTTTGATGTTGATGGCAGTTATTTTCAGGCCTTGAAGATGCAAAGAGATGCCCACCCCAGGACCGACCAGCTCGCATCATTTTTTATATTTCCTTTACTAAACCCCCAAACTGATTATTAGATGCCTTAAAAATTACCAGCACTAGTTCCTATTGGAGCTGCTACTAAATGTGTTGAAAATGATGGGAGCTAGTCAATGTTGGGGCTGCTAATACCATAGTATTGACATCTGTTGAGAGAGGTTATTCTGAATGTAATTAACTTTGCTTAGGTTTGTGTCAGTGCCTTTTTTCAATCCCAAACCTGGGCTGTTAAATGGAGTATGCTATAATCTGTTAGGTGAACTACAATCAGTAAAACTAAGGTACTATACACACAAGAGCTCAGAACTGTGCTGCAAAATGATAGTTGCATATCATACTGCCCTCTTCCCTTGGTACATGGCTGTTTGTAGGTACATAGTTGAAGTCTATAAGTCTAAAATTTTTATCTTCTTTCATAAGAGGAGGTGAGAATTTTTGTTTGTGAAACATTAGGTATGGGGAATGAGATGTATTGGGTGTTTATTGATGAACTTTACAGGAGCCATGCTTATGTGGATAAAGCTCTAGGAAAATTTGAAGAGGTGCAAAATCACAATCCTGACCATCTGTGGTCATTAAAATACCCAGGGCACTCTTTGTAAGAACAGGACTATTTGTTAGCCCTGATGTCCTGGCCACAGTCCAGTTGGGGTATTACATCATGTCTATAATTCATTTTCTCTGGAGTTTCAATGAGATCTACTAGCCTTTTTATTTCCTTACAGAAAGGATTGTGTAATATTACCACGTTAGGTGACTGCTGTGTTCCATTCCAGAGTCAGTGAATTGAACAAGGCTAATAAGGAAGCAGTGCATGTATAAACAGTAATTGGATGGAAGGTGATGTATAATTGTAATGTTATCATTTTAGAGTCATGTTTCATACAAATGGACATTAAGCAATTTCCAAGAAAAGATCCCTGCTGGTTGCAAAGCCTATTGATGCTTGATTCTTAGCGCACACTGGAACCAGGAAAGTCCTTTTGATTGGACCATGTACTGAAAACAATCCCATAAATGGCTAAACTGCATGCCATTTTTCACACAGAAATGTGCAGCAAGTGTAATGCAGTTTATTCATCAAGATACAGGCATGTTCTTTTGCACTTCTGAAACAATTTTTATTGCTATAGCATTCACAGTAGGATGTAGATATAACATGACATGTAGCTACAACATGACATTATATCACTTTTATAGAACTCATGGTGGGGTAGAATGGATTTTTCGCTAAAGGATTTTTCTTGTGTGTCAAGGGAGGCATGCTGTCAGTGATTGACAGTGGGATTGGAATGGGCAAACCTGAATCTTGGTTCTATCTCTGCCTCTGACTTGCAGGGTGATTTTTCTGTTAAGTCACTCAAATCTTTCTCCATTTTTCAGTTTGTAAACTGAGGATAATTCCTAGTGCATGTAATGGTGCTTATATGGTGCTACAGGGCCTTGCAGATCTACAGTGTTGTAACACTGGTGTCATAAATACAAAAGAGATGCAGGTATTTTTTTAAAAATAAATAGAAATGCCAAATAACCACTTAACTACAGTAAACATGGGTATATATTATTTAGGGAAAAAAAATACCATTAAAGTTGCCCTCAAAGAGAAATTTGTTTCTTTTGTAATCATAAGAATATTTTGTTGGATCTAAGGCTCCTTACAGGAGATGTAATATTGTGGACTGCTGCATTATAATAGAGATTTTGAACAAAAAAAAGGACATTATCAACATTTTTCTTAGATGAGGGCAAATGTAAGAAAAAAAACTAAGGAAAAATGAATGGAAAATCAGCCATGAACCAGAAAGAGATAAATACCTTCAAAAGGCTTCTGTCTACTTAGGCTTTCCCAACACATCATTCCAAAGCTAGAGGGAAACAAGGAAAGTGTTTATGTTAGTTTGGAATCCACGTTTGCGCTGTGGTTTATTCCTGAAAGAATGACTTCATTGGTTCAAAGGAGGGCATTTTCCACTTTCCACTACATCTAAATCTATCCAAGTCTTTCTCAATTAACAGGATTTCCTGTTTTGCATATTACTGCATCAGTTTCCCAAAAAATAAACCAGGGTGGAGGTGGGGAAGGAAGATAACAGCCATAACTTAGTATTTCAGAGTTTTAGGGGAAGGATTGCTCTTAAACATGATATATTATTTGCAAAAATTTGTAACTTAATTTACTTATGTGGCCTTTAAAACTTTTCATTCTTCTCTTCCCTTTTATTACAGCAGCTGAAAATGGAAAGTGATGGTGGTATTGAGCACGCTGGCAGGGGAATGAAAAGTTGATTTACTAAAAGCTGGTGCAGAACACGCTGATCTTTCTATCTACATTGGTGAACTTTTATCAACCCCTAAGTGTATTTTCTTTCTCCTGTAATTTCTAGGAAATATAAAATTTCACTGAAATAGTCAAGTGATTTTACTTGCATTCACTTCTGGAAAAATATTGGTGTAATATATAATATTTAGGGACAGAAATATAATTGGCAGTCTCCCATGAAATAGCCGGTTCCTCATGAAAAAATGTGGGGAACTGGCTATTTTCAACAAGCTGGCAAAGAGCTGGCAAAAAGCTGTCTCCTCAAAGGGTTGGGGGAGGGAGGAAGGGAGCAAAGAGGGGAAAAAAAAGGCAGACTGCCCATCTCCTGAAGTGGAGGGGGGGGCGGTGGCAGGGGAGAGAGAGGTGGGAAAAGTTCCCATCTCTCTTTCTCCAGAAGAGGATGGAGGGATCAGGGAAAAGCCCATCAAAGGTCCTCTTCTCCTGAAGGGGAGCTGAGAGGCACAATGACAGCCAGAGCAGAGCGGAGCAAATCAGAGGCTGAGCCCCTGATGTCAGCTGTTGATTTTCCTCTTGAATAAAATTTACAGTTTGTATTCTTCAAAAATCATTGCCTCCATTCCTTTATTTTAGCTAGGTAGTCAGCTTCATACTTCTGTTGAGTACAGGAACTATTTAATTGCCACACTTAAACTGGTGGTTTATTTAGTAATTATTGCCCTGGGTCCCTTGAAGAGGGTGACAATTACTGAATTAACAAACCAGGCATCTCCAGCTAGGGTTTTTAATCCATGCCTGGGAGGGGTGGGACTTGCAGAACCCCTCAGCCAATCAGAAGTGTGGGGGGCAGCTTTGCTCCTCCTTCAAAATGGCAGCCCCAACAGTTATATGGCTGCGAAACTGCGGGTCCCAGCCATGTTACAGCCATGTAATTGGGCACTGGGGCCTGTGAATTTTGAAGTTCCCTAATAATATTAGTTAGTGGAAAACAAAAAGTATATTTGATGCCACATCACAGCTAGACATGCACTTATCTCAGACAGTATGAGTCATTTCTAAGCAGGTATGACAAGGTAAAGTGAAATATGCCACCTGAAAGTAAACACCCCTCTCTTCCAGCATGAGTCTCTTATGTTCTTTGCAGTCAGTAAAACGTATCATTCCTATCCTATGTATCATTAAGTACATGTATGGCATGACTCATTCTTGCTGTCTACCTTTATGACAATGGAAATAAGAGTTGAAATTGTCTAAACAAAGGATAAAAGCTCTAAGACTAGAAAGCTAGCCATATTTGACATTATTAAAAAGTTTGTCCAGAGAATCTACTGCATCAGTTGTAAAGATATGTGCACAGATGTATGGGTTGCTATTTTTTGAGGTTTTGTGATTCATGCAGAGAATCATGCAGGTTCTATTTTAAGGAGGTATGACGCATCCAAATAACAAACAAGATGGCAGTGTAAATAATATTAATTATTCGTGTAAATCACTTCAATTAAATGTTATTAACTCATGTGAGTAAGCACAGTGAATTATTTCATCAGAGATTCCAGAAAGCCACATTGTCAAGATAAAGAGCTCATTCTTATTTTTAGCTAGACCTCACCCAAGTATCTAATTATAGTGCCTGAAATTAAATCTGGGCACGGTTGTTTATACCAACATTAGTTCCCAGTTAAAAATCCAAATGTTTGAATAGTAGCTATTAGGTTATTATATGGATTGTAATTATATGCATGGAAATTTGCTTCTGTAATTCTGACACTGGTATTGGAAACCTTTTAACATTTAGACCTATAGTTGAGTTTTATAAAATAAATCTTTACATACTTAACCTCATTTAAAAAATCCAAAAACCTAACTTACTTGGACTGCACATGCCAGTTTGTGTAGGTGGATTAAGTTTGGGTCATAGAGACTGGGGGTACGGATCTAATATAGCAAGGACAGTTACAAGTTTGGTCCCTGGTCTGAGTAGAAGGAGTTTATGGAAAAAAATGAAGAAAAAATGATATTTCATTTTTAAGGATTTGTCATATGCAGTGTACAAGAAGAGAATTGTTTAAGTGCAGGCAAGTAAATATTTACATTAAAAAGATAATATATTTTATAGCATGCATTCTGCAATCATGCACCTATTTTTACTGTGTTAATGTTTTGAAGCTGAAATTTTGCCGATTTAATTTTTATTTCTTAATAAGAAAATCTTCATTCTTAATATTATATCAACACTTAATTCTTAATATATTAAGCTGCATACAGATCACTTCCTCTAAAAATTAGGAATTTCAAGTTTAATTAATTGCTAAAAAATAGTAGAGTGCCTGTCAGATTTGATGTGTTTAATGTCTTTTCTTTGGATGTAATACCCACCTTTTAAGGTCAGCTTGTGTCCTACGTTGTGTTCTGTTGTAAGTAATAATATTTTCTTAGAGGAAACATTTCAAATGCTACATGAATTGCCACCAAGGATCATGTGTCCTTTAATTGTGACTCACTGAAGAAGAAAAAAACCACTAACCTGTAAATATCAGCTTCTTGTGAGGGATAACCTCCTTTGAGTATTTCAGGAGAGAGATACACTATATCCCAGCAGCTTCTATTGCTACAGTTCTCCAGGGCTGATCTCAGCTGCTTCTTTCTCCAGTATGTTAGGCCATAATCTGTTATCTGTAGAGAAGGGAGAGTGGCTATTATAGCTATAATATGGCAGCATCACATGCTAATCAGGTATTTTGTTAGGGTAGACATCTGATCAATAATCAGGAATGTAAAATTGTCCTGTTTTCAGGGTTTGACTAATTTTCTAAGTTTTCTATTAAGAAAATAGTTAAGATAAAAAGCTAAATGAATAAGGTCCCACCTTTGCTCGGTATTGTGCATCCAAAACAACATTGGAGGGTTTTAGGCTGTAGTGGAGAAGAGGAGGGTCTAGACTGTGGAGATGATTCAGTCCATTAGCAACATCTGACAGGATCCTTATGAGTACAGGAAATGGTAATTCTGGGTACAAATGATGCTAAAAAAGGAACACTAATTTCAATATAGTGTTCCACAACATATTTTCAGCATCTTAAAGTGATTATCACTCACATTAACAATTAAAATGCCCAAGTGGAAAATAAAATGTATTATTGGCAAAAATGACTATTTCAAAATTATTGCCCATCATTTAGACACTGGCTGTTCCAATTCTTAAGCAAAATTATTGCCCATCATTTAGACACTGGCTGGTCCAATTCTCAAGGAGTATTGCAACTATAAAGGAGTTCAATCAAAAACCAAGGAGTACCTCATGGATGAGTGACTGGAGGGATCCATTACATGCCCATTCAGTTACTATCCCAAGAAGTCCCTCAGACTGGTATATCCCAAGAGAAGGTAACAGATGTTCAGATTGAATGTGTCGGGTATTGGCTATGTCTTGGAGCAGCAACTTGAAATCACTGCAGATAGATAACAGAGATTTAGAGACAGTCTTCAATAAAGTGCATTTCAGAGACAGGATCAGGGTAATGTTGTTCCTTTGTCATCTGGAAAAGGAAGGGTTTCCCCTCTCATCATTATCTGTTGTTTAATACCAACAAATGTTTTTTTGGCTACCAAGCCAATATATATTAAAATATATATTTCACAAAGTGATTGTTTAATTTTAAAATAATAAGAAAGCTAGCTTTAATATCATGCATTAGTTGCATTAGTATCATGAGGTTGTTTTTTTTTAATCGGGTCTAAAATGCAAAGACAGCAGAAAGCTAAAATGCATCAAAAACCAAATTAAAAATAGGTGTAAAATAATTAATTTTTTCTTTGCTGTCCACCAAAGACTCGTGTTTTTTCTTGCACTATCAATGTGACTCCCTGCAAATTCTAACTTGTTCCATTATAATCTGGTTTGCCAGTCTTGGGGTGTCTTTGTCAGAGTAATAACAAGACCTTCAGGCCAATTTCAGATCTGATGTAAGTAATGCAGCCTAATGACTTCATTGGCATTACATCCATTTCTGCTGAGACCGGTCTTTACTTGTAAGTGCAAATCTGGTATATTTCAGGAGAAAAAGGAAGTCTTGCTTTGATTGTCATTAGAAGATTAAGATTTTATTTGACAGCTTCAGGCAGTACCTTCTTTGTGTAGCCACACAACAGAGACACTAAACTGCATTATTTGAGTTTCAAGGAAAATAAATGAACTCTTCCCACTACAGATTAATTCCTTATACTGGGCATTTGATTTTAAGCATATGATCCTCTCTGTAGTATTTTCAGAAATAGAGATTCAGTGCTGTTTATTCAAACTGATTTATTTCAGTAGGCTTGGATTTCACTCTGTCATTATTCTAGGAACTAAGTAGGTAGGGCTTGGGAATGAAAAATAAATCTATACATATAGAGAAAGGGGCTATAGTTTGGCTTTGGATCTCAACTGTTCCAATGTTTGGATCTTGATTCAACTCTACAACTCTTCAGCTATGAAGGAGCAATCATTAGACACCATCTAGAAATAGACTCACAACAGCATGTCATTTTTTATATTTTAGTCTACATTTGTTATCTCAGTAGGTAATGGGACAAAGCTTGACATCTTTTGATTATTCATCTCGTATACCATTAGACTCTCATAGAATTCAGTGACAGTTTCACTACCTGTAGTCAGAGCTTGGCTAAGTAAAAACTGAATTTAGAACATCAAAATTTGGTCTAACAATGCCTGTCCGTGCTAGCACCCTAGCTCCTCATATAATTGTGTGTGCAATCTCTCCACTGACTTCTGTTTCCTAATCAGCCTGAGCATATAGAAGACTCTATTCAATGACCTGACACTCATTTCCTGAATTTCCACATCTACTGGTGGAAGAAACAAGAGAATATCCTAAAGCCCTTTAATTCCCCATACCCTCCCTATTATTGTTAAAGGAAAAAAGATGCTTTCTTAAAAACTCCCTTTTAGGAATGTGACGGTCAGTCTTCATACTGGCTGCATCTACACGAGATGCTGACTGCATAGTAGCCTGTGACTACTGCGCAGTAGTGTTACATGGCAGAGAGCATGACACGATGCTACTGCGCAGTAGTCACGAGCTACTGTGCAGTTGGCATCACAAAAAAGCCATTCCTCGGCATGACTGTATAATAACTTTGGTTACTGCACAGTCATATAATATTTGTATCTCATGTAGATGCAGCCATTGACAAGTATACAGTCTACTTACCAGTGCCACAGAGGTTGTTGTTACCTGTCCTTCTCCTGAAGCACTATGCTGACAGATGTGGTTAAAGTCCTACCTCATTTATAGATGGTTTATTTATAGATATCAGCTGTAAATGGCAGTCCTACCCCATTTATAGATAGTTCCTGTACTTTTCAAACTCTGTTGTAATCTCTGTTTTGCATATAACACATGATTCATGGAAATCTATGAAGTGCAGTTGTAGTCAGAAATGCTTACAAATTACTTTGTGGGTTGCACAAGTTCTTTAAACTGAGGATGCCAGGCTGTGGGAGGAAAAAGGCAAGCAAAATTCTGATGCTAATTTATTTGCATAATTTGTGTCATGCAAATAAATAAATTATGCAGTCATGCATCAAACTGTCCAGTTGCAATATTTGTAATTGATTTGCATGTCCAGCAGCACTAATGGCACACTAACATGATATGTGCAGGTAGGAGAGTTTTTCAAGCATGAAATTAAACATATGCTCTTGCACTTCCACTTTCTTTTTGCTTTTACCCATAGTATTCATGGGTAATTCATTTTTGGCTTGAACTAGCTTCTATCCAAGCCTTCCCAAAGACTTAATTGGGATCTGGGGGCCCTCTGAGCCATATGGAGACCATCACTAAAGAAAGAATAGTTTGTGTCTCAAGATGAATATTTGGATTTCTTAAATAAAAGAACTTAGATTCAAAGGCAACCAAAAAGCAGAGAAGGGGCTTAGCTGAAACCTTTGGATACAGCCATCCTCAAAGTTTCAGGGGTGTCTTGTAAATATGATTTTGCAATAATCTCTGCTTTTTTAATGGAGTGAACTAGTCCATTGGGGTGTTTTAAAATCTGAGTGTTTTAGCTAAACTTCACCTCCTACGGAGCCACTTAAAAATCTATAATTCTCAGATAATGAGTAGGTTGTGTTAGACTTGCAGGTTCACATCTTCAGTTCCTTTTTGAGACTCTGGTACCAAACAGGTACATTCACCAGAACAATTTGGCCTTACATCATTAGAGATACATGGACCTGTTCTTGAAAACCTGATGTAATCTATCTGTTATTGCCACTGAAGTAAAAGGGAGTTTTGTGGGTGGCTGACATCCATGTATGATTAAGAAGTTCATAGTTATTAATAATATATGTCATGGGCTAAATACCATCTGTGAATCTGATCTGGTACACCCACTGGATCCTGTGCACCGGGTCATGTAATTTGCCCTGTGGGGCTTGGCAGTTTGGTGGTGGAGAAGCGTGGCAGCATTAATAGTCACTATTTGCTTGCCACCAAATTTCTGACCCTTGGGGATCAAAAGGCTCTGCAGACCCAAGGCTGAGCACTCCTAATATATGCAAACATACCTATCTCCACTGTAAGCCAGCTCTCTCCTCTTCATTCTTCCTATTTGTAAACTTAATCACTTGTCACGTTTTATTTCTTTGGGGTCATTTGTATAGTGCTGAAGTAAGAAGTGTACCCTTAGGTGCTAGTATAAGACAAACAGTTCATAACTGCTGGATCAGGCCTATATTCAACTGGAAATCGTCAATTTGGAAAGGCACATTGGGTTCAGAGAATCCTGCATGCTAGAATCCACACTGATTCTATCACTGCACTATTATCTTACCAAGTTGTTTATGTGATGAATTAAAATCAGCACCTACCTCTCTGCTGTATTTTGGCTTGTCAACAGCTTCACTGAGATGTTAATTTTCCAAGGTACATGAAAAGCTTTAAGGGCAAAGCCACTGCCTCTTCTGGTCAAAATAAGGTTACTCAGGTCTTCCTGGGTTGTTATGGGCATTGGATTGGCCATTTCTTGATGTTTATTTGGAAAGGAGAACTAAAGAAAAGAGAAGTTTAGGCTTGGGCTTTTGTTACCATTATGTAGGGACAGTGAAGTTACAGTAATCCTTGCTCCCCAAACTAATCTTCACCTGAATTCAGAAAGTTTCTTATTACTGTTTGCTGGACCAGATTGTCTTAAAGACATATGGCAAATGTTACTGAAAACACAGAGATGCCCTGAGGATTACTTACAGTTTATATAGGGAGTTGTGAAATAAGTGTTTAGTAGTATTCCCAGTTCCCATTAAAGTCAGTAGGAAGGGTAGACCATTATTTAAATGTAATATTTAGTTTTCCAAGGATGATGTCATAATATGTAGAAGTAAAAAATTAACAAACTTACAGTTTTGGGCTGAAAAGAAATACAGTTCCCACCAAAGCCCATGGAAAAATATCAATAAGAAATACTCCATTGAATTCTACTTCTGGTGCCATGCCCTTTACAGGTTATCATT